AAAGCCACATGATTCCTCCATAAGCCCCAAGGTGAGAGATCCATATCCTGCATTAACAAGAATTCTTCACCAGAACATCTGAAATTAAGCAGAAAACATAACTTTATTCCTGGCATCTGTGAAATTTTGGTCAATTTATTTGCTTTTCCTTAAAGAATCCTATGGACTAACAATATTTTCAAAATTATTCCTTCACATACAATAGCTATCAGTCATTGAATGCAGACATGTTACTTGATACTATGCTAAGCAACTTACATATAATATCTTACTTAATCCATAAAATGATCCAAAAAGGTATAGATATCATATTCATTTAAGAGGAGGGGAAGTATGCTTAATTGACTCAGCCAAGTTTACAGTCATAGCCCAAGGGACTAGCTGTACCTCATTGCAGAAAAAGAAAAATCCTTATGACATTGGACACAAACTTACATTACATAACCAGGACAGTTATTGCCGTTTGTTATATTGAGTGTTGGACAGAAGTTTCTTCCCAAAAACTCATTATGCTGCAAAGCCTATATAACACAAAAAGCATGGCATGATGGTTTTAAGTTTCAAAAACTTTTTGAAGAATTGTCACAATTGAATCCTCAAGTTTAGTCTTTACAATAACTTTTGATTTGTTCTTTTTAGATATACATGAGACTAGAGTGCATTTTGGCATATTATACATGCACAGAGTACAGCTTATTCTAATTAGGAGCCTATTCTTATGGTTGTACATGTCCAGAGTTACCCTGGTCATATATTCAAATACAAAGCTAGGAAAGTTATTCCAATTAATTCTACTGTCCTTTCTATTACCATCTTCTGTCTCTTCTCTCCATTTTCATTTGTCTATTCCAGTTGACTTCTATTCTTCACCCCTGTTGTCCCTAATAGTGGCTTAGTATCTGCATATTGAACAGAACATTTGGCCTCATCTTTTCTGGGGTTAGTTTATTAAACTTACTATGATATTTAAAGACAAACCAAGTTTCATATTTGCAGTCTGTCACAACAAAGTGATTGAAGTTGTTAGTCAAGAGGTCCAGTGTTGGGATGTTGTTTCCAATTAGCCAAGAAGGAAAAACCTTTGCTAGATAACCTCATAGCCCCTCCCTCCTGCTCTCTGTGTCACCCTACAATCTTATAATTTTAATGATACATTGTTGTTCATTAAATACTGAAGACTTATTGTAATGACATTTCCTGTTCTTTTCATTAAAACCACTTATAATGATAGGTAATAGAATCTTGGTTACACTGTATTAAGGCACCATTTTTTTTAGTTGAGTAGCTTGCTAAACATGGTTGAGTGTTACATAGCCTTTGTTTCTCTTATAATTTCCCTTTCAACATGATTTATGTTTTCCAATCCCCCATATTTTCATTTCCTTATTGAATAGAAACAATGATTTGCATCAGTTTTTCTGCTTTTCTATGAGATTTATTCTCCCCACCCTTTCTCACCCTCAAACAACAGGATGACAGAAGGAAAACCCCAGATGACTTCCTGACCTTGTGATAATGAAGGCTATTAGAGATTCTCCATCCATTTCTCCTGAAAGGAAATACTTGGGTGGAAGATGGTCCTAAGTCATACCAAGGAAAGTAAAATGTGTAGGTTTTATTTTCTCTGTTCCCATCTTGGAGACACACTCATAAGGTCTGAAAAAGACAGCTTACCATAAAGCCATAATAAGGAATGCTGAAGAAGTGAACCCATGAGAATTGAGGTGTCCTGGTTCCAACATACAATGACAGACCCAAAAGAATCTACACAGAGAAAAAGTATGAATTAGAACAGTCCAAGGATTTCAAGAAGAATTGTAAGAAGATGCTTTCCAAGGACTCTACAATCTTCTAAACATTTCTGCTAGGAACAACTCTTAAAATTTTTGCACTTATTCTACACATTAACCTTCCTTTGCATGTTCAAACCTCTGCATGGCTAAGGCTGTTTACTGTTTTAAGTTAAGGAAAATATAGTATAAACTATATTGTATATTTCATTTATTTGGAAGACCCTTAATGGTCAATTCATTGTCCTCAACTTTCTCTGCAACTGTATATAATGGAAGATTAATACGTATACTTGTCTCTTGGTTTCTAGAGAGCCCAGGTTCAGAATCCATTCATACTGATACCCAAACCTATAGATGCTCAAGTCCCTTTATTTTTAAATAGCATAATGTTTGCATGTAATCCCAAGTAAATTGTTTATATTTTAAATATATGTATCCTTTATATTTTAAATCACCTCCACATTTATTTGTAATAGCATAGAAATGCAATGTGTGTAGTTTTTACCATGTATGTATAACCATATATACTAAGTAGTTTAGGGAATAATGAATAAAAATAGAAAAAAATTGTACATATTTAGTACACACACAATTCTTGTTTTGTGAGTTTTCTGTTTGTGGTTGATTGCATCTTAGAATGCAGAATGCAAGTATTTATGCACCTTACTTTGCTAACTATTCTAATTATATCCCTACCATGTGTTTCCCCTAATAATCATGAAAATCTAGGAACATATGAAGAATATTCCTGAGCATCACATACCCCTCTCTACTTTCATACGTTAATAAGTATTGTTATTTACAGTCTTTGCATTTTATATTCATGATGTTAATATTAAATTGGGCTTCAGAATTGCACACTTCAGGTTTTTCAAAGGCTAGAATTTATAAACTAAATAATGTAGTGTAGTGCACCAGAAAATATGGTAAATCCCTCTATTTAATGCTAGAAAAAGCAGTATAACAATGCTGACTCAGGAAGGAATGTTGGAGACGAATGAGAGGAGAGGCTCTCATATCCCCACACACCTCACTCTTGTCCTAACTGGGTGAGGTGTGTGGGGGATATGCACATCAATAAGAGTGCTGGTGTGCCTGCAAACATCAGACTTAACCTAACAAGTGCCTGATGAATAATATGGTCTCTCTGAATAAAATGTGATTTTATGACTGGCTTTTAAGTTCTACTTGGAGACTTTTAAATAAAAAATCAAAGTATCAATAAATCAAACAAAACATCTTTTTTTTTAATTTAAGTACATTTCCTTAACAGTAGATAAAATATAAATAAGACATCTCTTCTCAATGATATTCATTGGTAGTTGCCAAATTCAGAAACAGAGAATGAAACTTAGGCAAGAATATGTGCTAAGCCATGCTTGACTGGTTATGCCAAAATAAACCCTAATATTATGAATGATTATAACAATAATAAGCATTTTTTAATAGAGAGAATGTGCTTCGTAAGTTTTATTGGAAGACATCTCCTCCTACTGTAATTTGAGCATGTCTCTGTAGCTGATGTTGTAGTAGATGGAATGTGGACATTTAATCTATTTATCTGTTGATTCATTTATGTTTGTGATAATTTTGAGAGTATAAATGATTAAGACTTAGTAATCTATATTTTTATTTTAAAAAGATGAAAGAAAAATATATTGATATAAGAGATTCTCAGGAACCAGAACAATGGATCCTGAGAATATCTTACATGGACTTTAGAATTTCCAATAATTTTAAAACATTTTTAACATGCAAGAGCATGGGAACTAGACCATTGTTACACTTCTCATGAAGCTTCACTTTCACCTTGGGGAGTAGTGAATCCAACCAAACCACCTTTGGTGCTTACACAGC